TTAATACTTAGTTTGTTGTGCCAAGTTCTACTTTGCTTTTATTGGATGTTCTGGTGCTGTCCATTTTAACCCTTTAGTGATCTTTAATCAGCGTGCTGTGATTTCAACACATTCCAAACTGTTTGGGAGAGCTTAAGTGGAACTGCAGAATAAAATATTTCTGGAACGAAGCAATCATGATCAACACCTGAAGGTATATTCAGGCTCACACTATCACTGCTGACAAAGAACAAAATCATATACAAAGTAGTTAAGTGCTGTTAATTCACTGTGAGTATTGCCCCCCACCCTGTGGTCAAGTATGCACTACAAACAGGTGGGAGCAGTTACCCGAACTTAGTTCCCTTCATTATACAATGCACAGAAACTGGACATTGTTTCAGGAGCTTCTTTCATGCATATCTACCTGCAAAAATTACAATGGGGGGAGCCCTCAAACCTTAAAAACTAGCTTCTAGCTCCTCCATGTAAAGCCTCCCAGCAAGCAGTGGAGGGAAGCCATTAGGAAGGGCCTCTGAGCACTGCTGTTTCCCTCAGAGCACACCTCAAATATATCTTTGCTTCATGAACATGACATCTGCTACATACCCAAATATCTGGTTAACTGATAATCTGATTCTTGAATAAGACAAGGCCCCTTCACCACTCACAAGAGACCCACAAACTTGATTGTTCTAATTCTAAAGTCATAATTATATGGTGATTTGGGTATTGAGTGTGTACAGAGTTATTTTTCTTGAATTCTTGCCCCTTCTTTGTCCTAATTCCACAGCAAGATGGGTTCCCAAAGCTTCCATACAATCGCAGTCCTTGTTTATGGAATCCTCCCGAATGGAAGCCAGCCAGAGAAACAGGGGGGAAAGGAAGTCTCTTATAATGGCTTGATTCTTTTGAGGGCCTAAAAGCTCAGAAAAGGAGGTGCCAACCTCAATCTCCTCACAAATTAACTGCTAATCCAGCCTGTTATTAAATTCATAGGCTTCTTTTTTTGTCACCAAACTCAAAAGTTGTGATTAAAAAGGAGGAGGTTGGCTTGGTCTGTAGACAAATGAAATTGCTAACTTGACCAAATATATATATTTTTTTAATTCATCTAACAAAAGTGGGGGTTCATGTCTAGTAACAACCCTCCACTGCCTTTGGACCCAGCTAGTATTCATAATTATACAACTTCTGAACATGGAGGTGGTGTCATTAAAAGTGCATCCTTTAAGAATTTATCCAGCTCCTTTTCAAAGTCATTTAACTAATGACAATCACATCATGCATCACTAAACTCCATAAATTTATATCATGTGGTATTGTCTGTTCAAGATATAATGCCCAGCATCAAGTCATTCAACTTCGAATATTATCATACGGGGACAAAAAGTCCTACATCCAGTTTCTGCATAAAGGGCATTATTAAGGCTTATAAAACTATCATGTCCCAATAAGGTTGCCAACAGGCCTGGAGAAAAGTATCCTTCAATAAAGTCTTAATAGAATGTTATCTACCACATATTATTAATGTGCATATGCTAAAAAGCTAAGACAGCCCCTTTCTACACATTAAGCCTCTCCTAAAGGAGAGCTGTGGTGGCTCAAGTGGTTAAGATGCTGAACTGCAGGCTGTGGAAGGTCGGTAGTTCAGCAGTTCGAGACCCGAGTTGCCGCATGACGGAGTGAGCTCCCATCTCTAGTTCCAGCTCCTGCCAACCTAGCAGTTCGAAAGCAAGAAATTGCAAGTAGATAAATAGGTACCACTTTGGTGGGAAGGTAACAGCGTTCCGTGCGCCTTGGTGTTTAGTCATGCCGGCCACATGACCACGGAAACGTCTTTCGCTCACTTGACCTCCCCCCCCCCCAAGCTTCTATGGCTCAGTACATCTCTAATCTAACAATCCCAATTTATCAGCGGGTTTTTATGTTAGCGAGATTCAATCTTTTCCCTTCCACTGTGGTCTTAGGCAGATATAGGGGTATCCCCTATAGGGACAGAACCTACAATTGCCTCTATAGTGAACCTGATTCAGTTGCTCATATTTTTCTACGCTGTCCCCAATATTCTATTATGCGTAGCCATCTGATTAGCACCCATTTACCTACCACAAGGAATCAGATTGGCAAAGATCTTCAAATTTTATTGTCTGATAAGTTCTCGGCTTTGTCTGTTGCCGAATTCTTAGCCTATGTCTGGAAGCTTAGGGTAAGGGCGTACAAGTCTTAATCCCCCTGTGTTTTTTAGAATTGTTATATTTTTATCTATTATTTATGAGAAGCTTCTAAATGATCTTTTGTTGGAGCAGTTTGGTGTAATTTGCCATGACCTATTAATTTATTTATTTTCCTGTTTCACTGCCCTTTCTGTTGCTGTGTTATGCCAATAAAGGTTTATGTATTTATGTACAATAAATACATGTAGGGGTGCAAAATTGGACGAGGAAAGCTGATAGGAAGTTGATTCATTTGAAATGTGGTGTTGCAGGACAGTTTTATGGATACCATGGACCACCAAAAAGACAAATAAGTGGGTTCTAGATTAAATCAAGCCTGAACACTCCATAGAAGCTGAGATGACTGAACTGAGGCTATTGTACGTTGGTTACATTACGAGAAGACAAGAGACATTGGCAAAAACAATGCTAGGAAGAGCTGAAGGTAGCAGGAAAAGACAAAGATTCAACATGAGACGGATTGACTCTATGAAGGAAGGCATGGCCTCAGTTTGCAAGACCTGAGCAAGGCTACTAATGACAGGATGTTTTGGAGGACATTAATTCATAGGGTTGCTAGAAGCTGGCAGTGATCTGACAGCACTTAACACACACAAAGGAACTGGACATTTTTCTCTGGGTCTGTTGGCAACCTTCTGCCTCATCCTTAGGTTGCCTCCCCAACCACCAAACAATCCCTTAAAGCTTTAATGTTGCTGCACGAAGGAGGGGGGAGTCCTCCAATCCCTTGATCATTTTGGTTACTTTTTGTGTGTCTGTTCCCTCTGGCATGCATCAGAACTGTACATATTATTACAAATGAGACACACTGTGTGTTTAAACAAAGGTATTCTGATAAAAAATTCTTTACTCCCTCTTAATTGTCCCTAATACAAATTCTCTTCTGTCACACACAATTTTCACAGAAGTTTTTATTATGACCAAGAGCATATTCTGTTACTGTTAGCCCCCATCACTACTGATGGGTTTTTGGAGGAGGTGTTACCTTAGTGTATACCTTTGTGAGTCATGGGGAGCTGCGGGGGCTCAAGTGGCTAAGATGCTGAACTGCAGGCTGTGGAAGGTCGGTAGTTCAGCAGTTTGAGACCCGAGTGTGCCGCATGACGGAGTGAGCTCCCGTCTCTAGTTCCAACTCCTGCCAACCTAGCAGTTCGAAAGCAAGAAACTGCAAGTAGATAAATAGGTACTACTTCAGTGGGAAGGTAACAGCGTTCTGTGCGCCTTGGTGTTTAGTCATGCCGGCCACATGACCACAGAAATGTCTTCAGACAGTGCTGGCTCTTCGGCTTTGAAACAGAGATGAGCACCGCAACCCTAGAGTCGGATTCGACTGGCTTTCGAGCAAGGGAACCTTTACCTTTGTGAGTCATAGTTAGTGCATCTGACAACGGCCAGGGTGACCTGGGTTCAAAATCCCTGCTCTGCCATAAACCTCTGTGAGCGTCTGCCTGTCACACCATAAGCCTAACGTACCTCACAGGGTTATTCTATAGATAAAATCGAGAAGTGGAGAATGTATGCCACTTTGAGCTCTTTGGAGGAAGAGTGGGATTAAAATATTATATTTGTATCTTATTAGCTATCCTGCCTCAGAGGTTCCCTGAGGAACTCCCCACAATCCTCTTGGGTTTGTTTTGTGCCATCTGCAAATATGACTACTTTGCTCCATCAGCAGCTTATTTACAAAGAAACAGCACCTGCCCCAGTTTAGATCCTTGAACCTGCAAGTACTAGTTACTGATCTGTAAGAGGACCTTGCTCCCGCACCCCATGACTGAACCTCAGAATTCTGCCAAAAGGTTCCCAGAAGCCCAAGTGTATCTGCCAGACCACTCATACCTGCACGCTTGCTGACAATCACGTCTCCGTCTTTTCCTCAAAGCAGCTCAGAGCAGCAGGCATGCTTTTCACCAAGAGATTAGTAAAGCATGACTTCTGTTTGCAGAAGGTAGGCAGAGCTTGTTCTTCTAAATCAAGCCAGTATCAATAATAGTGCTTTCCACAAATTTCACTGGAGAGATCTTAGGTTAAATGATCCGTAATTTCTCCAATCTTTTTTTTTTTAATCAGCATTACATTGGCTTACTCTCCAGTAACGGTGGAAAAACACTTTGTGACAAACACAGTTTTGGTTAAGATACCCGTAATCTAAGAATTGTCAGATGTGTGGGGCCAAGAAGTGTACACCAAATTAACCAACCACATTTTTGGTTAATTTTTCAGTTGCTGTTATATGAACCATCTTGTGACTTCTGTCTGATTCAGTTCTTCAGATGATATCCCACCAGAAAGCTGTTCTGGCATGGGTCACTTCCACCTGCTGTAAAGCTTTCATTCATTCCTTTCACTGCTTTGTCATCTACTGGACCAGCATTCTCTGTTAAGGTGCACTCTGGAACTACCCTCCTCCCTTTTTCACCAGCCCCTTTCCACAGTGCAAGGCCCTCTGATACCAGCTGCAATGTTCCCTCTAAGCTGTGGAGTCTTGTGAGCAAAAATTCTACTTTGTGAGCTCCTGGCATTAACGTTGTGAGCGGGCGATTTGGCTACTGTATAAATTAGTTTGCTCTGGAGCTCTCCTTCCCAAGCTAAGGCAAAAATGTGTGAGTCGGAGGGTAAAAAACTGTGAGCTAGCTCACACTAACTCAGCTTAGAGGGAACACTGACCAGCTGTGAAGCACCAAAGAAGACATTTTCCCCCAAGGCCTGAATGTAAGCCAAGGATTTACAACTACTAGCCACTTTTGCACATAAAAGAAAAATAAGAATTATACGAGACACACATTTTGAACATTCCAACTTTAATTCAATTTGAAGATGGTCATAACTTTACAAAGCATGGCCTTGTGAAGTAAGACAAACAATCAGAAACGGTGTTCTATCCCTTCTATCAGGGTTCAGTCATGTTCCAGTGCAATTTTTTGTATGTTTTTGTATTTGAGTGTAATTTATTAATGTGTCCATTTGCATTAATTTTCTCCTTTCAAAACAGATGATAATTCTCCACTTTCATTCAGTTCCTGTAAGGGGGAGCGGGAGAAAGAGAAACATTTTAAAAAGTGATGCTTGAGCAACAAGGTCAGATGAACAATGGCATCCTCCTCCCTGACTAAACTATTTTGTTATTTGGTATTTTGCAGTTCTCTTGCATATCTAACATGATGGGCAGGGATTTTTCCCCCTAGAAGGTTAGTTTAGAAGAATCCCTCACCCATGGAACCACCTTCAGCTGGAAATTGTGTCTGGTTCAAGAGCCGGGCACAACAGGAAATCCCAGCTTTGATGGAGACTCTCTAGGCTCAGGTACTTGGCCTAAGGTGGCCAACAGTCATGGCACACCCTTCCACCACCAGTAGCAAGTCACTTTCAGATGGAGGAAGACATATATGCAAAAGTAAGGCAAGGACTATACTCTCTAGAAGGGAAACATGCCCCAGATGAAGGAAATACGCTTTGGTGCCAGGCCACAAGGTCAACCCATGGTAAAGATGAACCACAGTGTTGTTGCCTTTGGCCTTGTTCACTACATCACTCCCTTCCTGAGTCAAACATACTCCCTAGAAGCTGGGAGGATCTGAGCAAGCATCTCAGGCAGCAGACATGCTTTTGTATCTTTCTGAATATGCAAAAAGAGCATGAAGCAAGAACTAAACATTACAGGAGATGGGTGGCTGTTGCCAGAAGTTCTACGGTAAATTCTCCCTCTCCTCCACTGTAATATATCTCAGTGCAAACCAAGTAATGATATTGTTCTTTGCAAGTGCCCCCCCATCCACGTCACTAGCAGTCAAGTATTGTTGGGGGGGGGACCTCATAAAGCAGTGACAGGAGCTTAGCTTTGCCAAATATTATAGGGAAGACAGAAGAAGGCAGCAAGGATTTGAAGCTGTCAATTAAATTAAAAAGCAAAGAAATTCCTTATCCAGGAATAATGAAGAGAATATGAAGAGATTGTTCTCTTTAAAGAAAAATATCCAACTGTAGCCCTTAGCCTGGCTGTTTGATCAATTTCAGCCTGACTGTTAGATCAATTTCAGCTAATCCATGGTCTGTAAGATCTGTCTTCTTCCAAAAGAAAAAAAGCAAAAATTATAGAACATCCAAATGCTAACTTTGCCGCTGTTTAAAAAAACCATACATATCAAAAAAATAACCTGCAAATGCAATATATCAGGAAATAATTTTTAAAAAACAAGATCAGCTACACAAGCTAACACCAACTTATTTTTAAAACCTAATGAGATTTATTGATTCTGTCTTCCCAGGAGTTACAATGCCTATGGAATTGGCTATAAAACATTCAAGACAAGAATAGGCTCAAGAGCATTTGGGTTGGAAAGCCTGTGCCTGTTGTGTTCCAGGAAAACACACACACACAGAAGATGCAATAACTAATGCAGATCTATTTTTGTTGCTTTGGGGTTTCCCCCCCAAATAAGTATACAATACAACCTTACCTTTCCTCAAGAATGAGACAGTTTGCTAGGTAAAATGTCAATGCCTTATTCGGGAAAAACCAATGTCAAAAACTAAAACTAAGAAGCAAATGAAACCTGTGAACGCACCCACAGGGGGGAAATGGTTCTTACAGAAAGGTAACTGACTGCTGTCAAGAAAATACATTTCAGTGTACATTAGTGGCCAATGCGGCAACACATTGGAGATTTAAGACTCCTTTCACCAATATATTAAAGCTAGTGACGGTCATAGAAAAGCCAACAAAGTCATTTCATTTTAAATCAAGAGAGGAGTCAGGAGGGGAAAGTTGTGCATATTAAAATTCTCTCTCACACGAGCTCGTTATCCTCTAACAATACACCCTGTACCCAGACAGAGTCTATGATGTTTGGACAAAGAGCAGCAAAGAAAACCTCGATATGCCATCCAGCTGACCTATTGCAAAGATAACTCAAACTGTACTTGGCCAGATAATGGTAATATGATAAAGGAATAACATGAAAGGCAAATTTCTAAACTCATTCCAGTAAAAAGAATTAAAATGGAAGGAGCGATCCACCTCAGATTGTGATTGTGAAGTCTGTAAGATTTTTTTTTAAGCGAGGATTACATATACCTGTCAGCGAAGAGTTCTTTCCTTACCTTAACAATATCAAGCCCTCCAACAAGTTCACCTTTCACATACAACTGCGGGTAGGTTGGCCAGTTTGAATACTTTTTTAAACCTTGCCTCACCTAAGAAAAATAATCCCAGTCAGCATTGCTCACTATTTCCAGACACATTAAAAAGAATGAACCACTGAAACATTACCTCTTCGTCCTCCAATATATCGAATGTCTCATAATCAACACTAAAACAAAGATGAAACAAAAACAAGGAAGTTTTTATTATGCGAGCCAGGGATATTCAACCAGTTGTGCTAATTGCTGTCACTTAGTTTTAACAATTTAAAAACCTCAAGAGTTTTTATCCTCAAATATAAACACTTGCAGTGCAACAGTGTTTGAGCTGCATATGAGTATTGAGTGTTCCCACTGGAACACAAAAGAATATTTACTGTAGAGACTAGATGCACTAATTCGTTTAAGTCAAAGCACACTGCAGTCAGAGACCTATGCATGTGCCACCAGTGTCAATGATGCTCCGTGACGGCCACAGGGGAGACCTTCCTTCTTATATTAGACAAGAGCCAGCAGGTGGAATCTTTACACCACACACACAATGTGTAAACAATTAGGGAGAACTGATCACTCCTATCTGCTGGGGAGAGGAGGGTCACAGAAAATGCCAAATTTGTGGCGCGTGATTCTTTGACACTTCTACGGTTTATCACATGATCAGCATTCTGACTGCCCTAATCAGAACTGTGGGGAGTGGCCATTCCATAATGGCGACATGATCAGCATTCTGACTGCCCTAATCACAACTGTGGGGAGTGGCCATTCCATAAACACGGCCACGGGCATTCTACAATGCCTGTGAATTTATTAAGCCACAAGTGCAAAAAAAGGCACTGCAGAGAACAACATGGGCCAGGGAACACTGAGGGGAAGGAGAAAGCAGAGAAGATAAGGAAATGGTCCAGGAGAGGCAATGCATTAAAAGGCTGAAAGGCCACTGAGGGAACAACAACTGGTCAACACTGAGGAACAACAACCACCAATGGGATGGGTTTGTTTTATGCTCATTTTTGAAGAAAAGGATGCATTTAAGGCTGGAAAATACCTCCATACCCAGTATTGTTTAGGATTTGTATTATTTGCTTGCTGAAGCCACACTTTGCCACCTACAAGAAGAAGAACATGCTGAAGAATATACTAGAAAACATAACACACACACAAAGTTAAAATTTAAAACCTATGAACACCCTTTTCCTTTAATCAACAGGATCTGAGGCACTTAAGATACACCAAATGTTTCCCCAGACTTGTTTTATTTTATTTTATGGGTCAGAATGAATAAGAATTTGACTTCAATAAGCCACCACCCATTATTTTAGCCACAGATTTCAGAGATGGCTGCCTACTCACTGAATGCTCAAGCCTGGTTTAAAGTGACCTCTTTATGCTATCACATAGCCAAGGGGATGAACTTGCTAGTGTCAAGTGTCCCGGGTATTCATTTATGTTCAGAAAAAAATCACAAAGCAGAAAAAAATACACTTCCTTGTTTCTTACCTGCTTATTTCCTTTCATAAACAGCATCACTGAAGCTTTATTTATCAGCTCTTTAAGTCTAGAACAGGAGAGGAAATACTGATTAAATTCAGTTGCTAAAATATTTGCATTTCTGCTTTGCTTCATACTACCTTCCAAATAATTGCTGTTTAAAGTAGCATCGAAAGTTACACTTGTACATACTTCCAAGTACGATACTTCTTGTAAAATTAATTATTTATCATGACATAAAATTATCTCAAATGCACGTTAAAGAAAATAAGTCTTCCATAAAAACTGAGATTTTTAGCTACTGGGTTCCACCATAAAATCACAAAAGCTGACATCTGGTATAGTTAAGCACTATGCTAAGTTTAAATAGCATGAGCACTATCTATAACTATACACACACATGCAAACACACAATCAAGAACTAAAAATAGAAACAACTAACAAGCTTGCAACTGAGAACAAGTTCCTTTGCTTATCAAAAGGATGCTTATTATTAACATAATATTGCATTCACATTCCTACACATGAATAACCAGTCTAAAGAAGTGAATCACAATTCAATGCACCGTGATGCACTCAATGGTACCCTCAAGCCCAGTTAAAACCAATAGTCTTCAATGTGCTTCTCTGTGTGCTGGACTAGGACACAGAGCTTAATGTTCTAAAGATCCTAACTTCCTTCTCCTCCTCTGAGGAATTCTTCCTACAGAAAAAGTTTCTCTAACCCACACAAAGAGAATTTCACAGGCAAAGCGGAGCGCAGGGGAGCTTGGGAAGTTCTCTTCAGCGAATATGGCTGTGCTCACATGACTTAGGATCCTAGCCAATAACATCTTCTTGACAGTTCTGGTTCCCTCATAGCCCCACAAAACTTGCTGTACAATCCCAAAGCCACTTTATGGATTCCATAAACTTCTGAGAGTTCTCTAAATTTAAACTACTACTGTAACGATTCCTTGTTTCTCTGTGTGTGTCTCTTTAAAAGTTTGGTTGCATGGTCAATAGACTAGAGTGGTTGAAAGAGGCAAGTGTGATGTGATTGGTGATTGACAGAGAGGGGGAGGGGTTTTGGAAATGAAAATGAGTGGATGAGTATGTGTGTCAGTCTAGAGTTTCAGTTAGGTTTGACAGTTGATGTTCAGTTAGTTAGTTCGTTCTGAGGTCTGTGAGAGAAGCAGAGAGTTAAGTTCTGTGTATGAAAGGAGAGACAAGCAGTTCAGTGTTGAAACAGTTATAAGCTGAAGCTGAGTGTCTAGGAAGCAGTTAAGCTGTCTGTTCATGATGTTGTTCAGAGAAAAAGGAAAGTCTGAGTGATGGGCTAGAAAGAAACAGTGAACGTATATGACCTTGAATTAAAGAGTTACAAAGTTACCTGAAAGATCCCTGTCAGTAAGGGAGCAGTTGTGTGAGACACCAAGCAATTGTTGAAAATATTCACATTACTGGTTACATTGTTCTACCCTTTTATTTATGAATTATTTCAATAAATCTTCTTTATTCAAGTATGCCAACTCTGAAATAAATACTTCCTTAGGACCACATAGATCCTCATGAGCCTTAAACTCGACCTATCTACCCAGTAATAGAAAAAGTAAAAGCATAAAGGTTTGGAAAGCCTTAAAATTTCCTGGTGGCAGCCAGATATACCCTAGTAGAACAAAATAAAGAACACTTTTAAAGGGAAACCAGTCCTCCCCATATAAGGGGTCGTCACAACTACCTTAAGCATTTTTCAATTATGTCCCACAAGCAGTTGGACATGTTTATTTGGGCACTAGAAGTCTGGCTGCCTGCAACAGAGAAGCATGGCACTAAGAAGCATGGCACTTCAGTATGTTGAGCACTGGGGGGGGGGGTTCTCACAGACCACTGACATTCCAAAATACCCCGAAGGATCTGAGTGACAGCAGAATTGCCCCACAGACAAAAACAACAAAGCATTTTGCCAAGTTCTCCTTACCCAGGGCTCCTCCCACATGATGCCAAGCACATCAGGGGATACCAGCAGAGAGATTTGCAGGGTCGGTGACCAAACAGCACCTGATCACAGTCCAGTCCCAGACTTATGAAGGCAACAGAAGGCAAACTAGTAGACATGAGACTCTCCACAAATCTATGTCTAGTGGTGGTCAAGTAGCAGAGCTAAAGAACCCCACACTGCTGTAACTGCAGTGTGAACACACACACACACACCATAGATATGTTGTCGAAGGCTTTCGTGGCCGGAGTTCATTAGATATTGTAGAGTTTCCGGGCTGTATGACCATGGTCTCGGCATTGTAGTACCTGACGTTTCGCCAGCACCGTCACAGCTGCTGGCAAAATGTCAGGTACTACAATGCCAAGACCATCGCCATACAGCCAGGAAAAATCTATAGCAACTAACACCATAGATACCTTTTAATTCTTGAAATAATTCTTGAAATTCTAACTACTGGTATAATCTGATGTGCTACACACACACCTATACACCTTAAAGGGGTTCTCTTTACAAAGTTCATCAGCCCCAAACTGATGTATAGATAAAAGCTCATCATTTGTTCATTCACCAACCCTCTGGTGCAAGGTGCAGCAGGGACAAAGGGGAGACAGTTAAACAGGGAGGGGCAAGTGCTGCTGTGTCTGCCCAAAACCAACTGTTCTGATTTGAATTAACTTCCATAGACAACCTACATAGTTTTCTTTACTACGACCAGCAAACCTGTGAATACCAGCTCTGGAAGGCAACATCAGGATAAGGGCTTGGCCTCTTGCACTGTTTGCTGGACTGCCAGCATAACTAGTTGGCCACTATGCTTAACAGGATGCTGGACTAGACAGACTACTGGTCTGATCCAGCAGAGCCTTTCTTATGTTCACAGACGCTTACCCACAGCAATAATTTCAATTTTCTAAAGCTCATTAACAGGACAAATGCAGTAGAAAAGAGCAAGAGTCCAGTAGCACCTTAAAAGCTAACAAAATATGTGGCAGGGTATGAGCTTTTGTGAGTCACTGCTCAATTCCTCAGATAGATGCAATTTGTTGTTGTTGTTCAGTCGCACAGTCGAGTCCGACTCTTCGCGACCCCATGGACCAGCTCCCGCCAGGCCCTCCTGTCTTCCGCCGTCCTCTGAAGTTGGCTCAATTTCATGTTCGTTGCATCGATGACACTGTTTAACCATCTCATCCTTTGCCATCCCCGTCTTCTTTGATCTTCAATCTTTCCCAGCATCAGGGTCTTCTCCAGTGATGCAATTTACCTTCCTGGTAATAAACCTAGAGAACATAAAGTACACCATACCTGTCCTCCAATTTGTGTGCCTTGGGACAAATGGTATCCAGTTCTCCAGAAGTCTCCAGCTCCTGAAAATAAGTTATTTTGAGTTCACAAAGGACACATGTGGCCTTATAAATAAAATTGATAGTGTTTTTAAATGTAGATTTTGCCTTTTCTAACCTTGACAATATCCAGCCCACCTATAAGTTCTCCAGCCACATACAACTGTGGATATGTAGGCCAGCTGGAATAGATTTTCAGTCCTTGACGCACTTCTTCATCAGAAAAGATATCAAAGCTGCTAAACACAATCTTATGGTTGTTAAGAATCTCCACTATTTGTCTGCTGAAACCTGTAGAAAGAAAATAAGAAAGGCACACACTTGAATAAGGCTGTACCAACCTATGAGCAAGGAAGTGTCCTAATTTAGCATGACTTATATTAATGATGTGCAAGCGATAGACAAAAAGATTACTTGAAGTTGCAGATTATCACACTTGTCCAATTCACCTACGCCAGAAATAAACACCCCTTATTTTGGATAACTTGCCAGTTACAGATAGCAACTCAATTTGTTGATCACTGAATTTACATTTTTGCCATTCTCTTCCAGAATGCCCTGTTTGGCAGTGGGACAACTAACTTGAGCTTGGTATTTAAGTTTAACCAGGAAATGCTCTATTATGCTATACTCTACCCAGGATTTTATTAATCTGTGCAAGAATGGAATGGGATCCTGACAACAAGTGTTAGCTTCCCAAGAATCCCACTTGGCATTTTTAAGTTGCCTTCTAGTTGCAAGACTAGCACATAGCCCCATATATGCAAAATCTCAACAGCCAAAGTGGCAACTAAATACATTTTTTAAGGATCAAGGATTTGGGGTAGGACTCAAAAGTATAGGATCCATCTGGCATACAAAAGGCCCCTGGATCAGCCCCGGCAGCTCCAGTTAAAAAAAAAAATGAAGTGAAAGACCTCCACCTGAGACCTGGGTGAATCACAGCTGGTCTTAAGTAGAAAATACTGGCTTTAATGGGCCAAAGGTCTGATTTAAGAAAGGTGGCTTCATGTGTGATACAGTATCCTGAGTATCTCTGTATCCTTTTCTATGCCCAGCAAAAAGAGAAGTGAAAAATAAGCAAAGTTAGGCTGATCTGACTGATTTGCAGATCTGAACATGTCAGGCCATTCATCCTATCCTGGCTATACTTTTAATTAACATTCTGTGCCAAGGATAGAAGCAGAAGTGTGCTTTAGTTCCACACTGTTCTATAACTGCAAATACCAGACAGATGATAGCATAACACCTCTAAGTGGATAACAATAATATGCATTGATTCAAACATGCCTTGTATTAAAAGCTAAAAATATCTTGGCCAGCTGGTTATTCGTCCCCAGTCTCTTCACTGCAATCCTAATAAACTACAATTCCCAAGGAAGACTGCAAGACCTGACCAGTACAGAATAATTTCCCCCTGAACAAGCACTTTGTTAACTGTTGAACTCATATGTAATATGATGTAATATTATCCCTTCAACTGTAGATGGGCGAGGAATGTCATTTGTGTAAATAACCAAGAACTGTAAAGTACTTCTGTCATTGAAAGATACTATAGATTTTTTTGAATATATTATTGGGCAGTCTTCCTGCTTGCAAGTACCTTCACATCCACACCTGTTGAAGAAATAATATAATGCAGTATCAGCCTTGACATCAGTCTTCTGGAAACTGGAGAAGGCAAACAGCTGGTTTCAGCCCACCAAACCTCTCCTGAACAGTTAGCACAGTTAAATTAACCTGTTGTTTTGCTCAGGGGAGTTTAACAAAAAGGCAAAGACCTAACATAGCAAAATCACATCATACGGTGCCATTTTGACTGTGCAGACCATATCATAAAATGAATCCATCATTGAAATACAATCCAATTTCTGATTATTTTTTTCCTCCACAGCACCAGACTGGGCCCACAATATCAACAGCAAATGACTCCTGAATTTCCATTTCAGGAAAATATATTCCTAACCCCAGCTAGCTGGAATTAAGCCCAAGAAATGTTAATAGCATTTACTTATAAATAAAATGTGCTTAGGATTGCAGCCAACAAAATAACTTGTTAGCCACAGTGGACCATTTCTGAAGCACTGCTTGCTGCAAGTACACAAGTCTACCCAACTCCTTATGTGCAATGAGCTCCAGTTGTACTCCCATACCCTTGAAAAAGGGCCCCACATCAACACCTTTCAAATCAAGTATGTCTAAACCAATAGCTAGATAAGACTGACCTTTCTATTGTCTTACAGTTCTTGTTAAAAAATCTTTCTTAGCTAACAAAAGAGCTAGTCAAAGTAGCTTTGTCTTCGGTTATTCGAAAAAATATAACCCATGTTCAAAAGGTTGCAAAAATCAGAGTTTTAAATGACAGATTTTAGAAGCTGAAGAAGCATACACACAAAGGAACCTTTACATGATCTCTGCCTGGCAAACACATCCATTACACTTTTGATTTGTACTATAGCTTAAGGTCTCCAAATCTGCATTTTTGAGCCATGAGCAACTAACATTTATTTATACAGCTAGGCTGCGTTTCTTCCCACAACTGAAGCATTAAGTTCTTGTACAGCCTGGAGTGAAACAAGAATCCTGAATTTTCTCTCCCCCATTCATCTGGGGAGTTCGTTAGTAAACAGCTACAGGCTGATTGCTGATGGTTATTCTGCTGCCAATATATTAACTTCTTTCTACTGTAAGAGGCTGAGAGAGAACGCTTCATTTTAGCTGTAGGCAACTACATACAGATGAGAAAGATTGATTGGTGGGGTTTCACTTGTAAGGGTTAAAGTAGCAGGCTGGAAACGTTATGCTTAGGGATAAAGTGGCAGCACTGCTTTATTCCCATAGCAAAAAAAGATTTAGGCTGACTTTCTGAACAGCCGCCATCTGACAAATACAAAAGCTAATGAAAGCATGAGTGCAGGGCACGTATGTGAACACACAAGCCACCCTACAGTAAAGAGAACGCTGCTCTGGCCAGCAACAGAAAGCTAAGTACAATTATAATACTAATGATATAAGCAAGCAACAAGCCTGTGAACACAGCGCCAAGGGGATAGACCTCACTTAACATTGTTATGAACTGGCCTTCCATAGGAAAGGCTGAAATACAGAACATAACAAGGATTTCTGATTCCATACCAAGATCCAATTACATTTGTTTACAATTGACAATCTGTTATTAGCATGAAAATTAGTCTGGACACAATCCATCCAGAAACTTCTCCATCACAAACTGCATTGTGCAAAAGCGCCCAGTTGACCTTGCCTGGGCCCAGAGCTGCTGTTGCAAGCACTGATGCTAGGCTTGCCAAGTCCCACCGGTGGGTGGGGAAACCCCCGCCCCAGAGGCCCGTTCCCCGCCGGCGGCGGATCGGGCCCCAGGGGGAACCCCACCCCGACGTGCGCGTCACCAGTAAGTGACGTTAGGACACGGGGCACACTGGGGGCGGGGCCATGACCATCGGAGGGAAAACTCTATGTTTTCCCTCCGATGGTCGTGGACCCGCCCCCAGCATGCCCGGCGTCCTAACGTCAGTTCCTGGTGACATGTGTGTGGCGTACGCGCGCTCCAGTCGCCGCACGGGAGTCCCTCGCTGCGGCTGAGAAACAACTTGGCAACCCTAACTGATGCACTGAAGGGACTAGACCTCACTGCAAGACATGAGGAAGCAAAGGGAGAAAGGGCAGCCACTCTCCCGCAAGTCTACAGTTGACCCCCTTTGTTTCCTACTGCAGCTGCCATTTGTGATCGCCCTGTAGGGACCAGCCAAATGTGGACACTATTTTGGTAACAGTAAGTAAGAACTGAGGCACAGGAATGAAATGCACTGCCCTGTAAGGGGCTCATGGCTAACACACAGCCTAGCCAAGGTAATTTCTCTGGAGTACATCTAGGAAAACATATGCCAAAGGAAAGACATATCTAACAAAACCCATGTTCCCACATGTGCTTCGGATAACTGTAACTATTCTACACCACACAGAGAAGTCTTCCCAGCTCACAATTAAAAAAAACCCACAGCCCAACTATGCCCTTGTTTACATTTTAAACAGACAATGGCATCAACAATTAAACAGGCTCTCTTCGTTTGGACGCACAAACCTGGGACCCAATGACTATTTAATGGATTACGAGGGCCAAATGACCCATTTCTGTGTGTGTGAGTGAATGTGAGGTGGAGAGAGAGTTCACATGCACCTGGAAGTCATGGCAACCTCTGGCAACTCCTACTGGAACACAGAGGATGTTCAGAGAAGTGGCTTGATAGCCTGCCTCTGGCCTCCCAGCCCTAGTATCCTCTGGAGGTGGTCTTGCCAAGTCCCCCTGGGCCCCAGAGGCCGTTCCCCGCCACTGCCGGATCGGGCCCCGGGGGGAACTCCACCCCGACGTGCACGTCACCAGGAAGTGATGCGACCACACCTGGCACGCTGGGGGCGGGGCCACAGTCATCTGAGGGAAAACTCTATGGTTTTCCCTCGGATGGTCGTGGCCCCGCC